AAGGAACCCTTGTGCACTGCTGGTGGGAATGCAGACTGGTGCAGCCACTGTGGAAAACAGTATGGCGTTTCCTCAAAAAGTTAAAAATGCAACTCCCATTTGACCCAGTGATCCCACTTCTAGGAATATCCAGAAACACCAATCAGAAAGGATATATGTACCCCTGTGTTCATAGCCTGGGGCTCAGACGGACAAACTGTTGACACTTGCCAGGGTCACCTGGTACAGGCTGCATCTCCCCAGCCACTTTCAACCTCCCCCCAGCTCCTTAGCTAATTTCCCATAGCTAAGAAGTGGAAACAGCCTAAGTGCCCATCAGCAGAAAGGGGGATTAAAAACTGTGGTACATCTACACGATGGAATACTATGCTGCTGTAAAAAAGAAGGAATTCTTACCATTTGCAACAGCATAGATGGAACTGGAGAGCACTATGCTAAGCGAGATAAGCCAGTCAGAAAGATCAATATAAATATCACACAATCTCACTCATTTGTGGAATACAATGAACACTATAAATTAATGAACAAAAATAGAACTAGAGTCATAGAAGCATCGAACAGACTGTCCAACCTATGAGGGAAGGTGGGGGTGAGGGGGTTAGAGATCAACCAAAGGACTTGTATGCATGCATATGAGCATAACCAATGGACACTGATGGGGTGTAGGGGGAATGAGGGCATGTGCTGGGGGGTGAGGGCAGTGGAGGGAAAAAAAGAGATTTATGTGATACTGTAAACAATAAAAATTTAAATTAAAAGAAATTTTCTTTTCCCTGGTCAGTTAGAGCAGTGGTTCTCAACCTTTTTTTGGCCATGACCCACCTAAGCATTTCTAAAATCCTAATATACCTCCCCCCCAACCCCCCCGTGACATATAATTCTTATTATTTAAAAAGTGAACTCCTATTCACGTGGAGGAAGCCTAAAAGGCCATTAACTTGGTCTAAACAAGCTTCCAAAGAATACGGCATCCATGAAAGAGAAAAATAAAAGAATGAAAGGACAGTTGAAGTACTGAGGAAGAAATCACTAAGAAATTGTGAAAAATAACAATATGAAGTGCAAAATAATCTTGCTCTTTCTCTCACAAAAAATCTGTATATATAAACAGGTAATACGCAAATTAGCCGGGCATCATGAAATATGCTAATTAGCCAAGCATCATGACCGCTCAGGAGGAGCTGTGCACACAGATGGGCAGGAAGGGACTATGTGCCGCCCCTACCCCAGCGGCGGCGGGGTGGCTGGGGCTGGGGGCGGGCCAGAGTTGTATATGAGGCCCCTAGAACCACAAGAAATGCAAAAAAATTCACTTTTAATAACTCATTCTCAAATTGTCCCCCTTAAAAACCAAATTTCCCCCTGTGGGGTGTGTGCCCCACATTGGGAACCACTGGGTTAGAGCATTGGCCTGGCCTGAGGACTGAAGGGTCACAGGTTCCATTCCCAGTCAAGGGCATATACCTCAGTTGCAGGTTCAATCCCCGAGGGTGCATGTGGGAGGCAACCAAACATGTAATAACTCATTCTCAAATTGTCCCCCTTAAAAACCAAATTTCCCCCTGTGGGGTGTGTGCCCCACATTGGGAACCACTGGGTTAGAGCATTGGCCTGGCCTGAGGACTGAAGGGTCACAGGTTCCATTCCCAGTCAAGGGCATATACCTCAGTTGCAGGTTCAATCCCCGAGGGTGCATGTGGGAGGCAACCAAACATGTCTGTGTGTCTGTCTCCCTCCCTCCCTCCACTCTCTCTAAAAATCAATGAAAAAAATATCCTCAGGCAAGGATTTAAGCAAAAAGTTGTTACCTTAATACATCAAATACTAAATACTTTTTAAAAAGTAATATTTCCTGTGCTTCTCATAATATCAGTCTATCATGTGTTACAACCTAGAATAACAAATCCAAGTAACTCATGTCCTAAGTTAATTCTTGGTCATTCCTGCACTCCGATTTTCTGAGAAATAGATAAACCTCAAGGGTGCCGTTAATACCAGGGATTCTATTAACACATTTGTAATACCTTAACCAATAAAGAAATTAAAGATAAAAAAATCATCTTTCAAGTTCTGGCTTGGCTTGGAACAGCTTCAGCTCTGTCTCCTATGCCTTTCCTAAGGTCATCTGTTTAGAATAACAGCTCCCCATCAAAGAATTACTCCTCTGATTCTCATTTTATTCAACCAACCCAAGTTTTCACCATTCTTAATGGGTAGGGTAAAAATATTAGGAGAGGAAGAGCTGCACATGTTTTAGAAGGTTAAAATCCATTAACGTAGTTTATCTGTTAACCAGTACAACTAGTTCCTCATTGTATTAGTTAATGGAGGCTTTCATATATGCCGTGCTGATATTATATTATTTTGCAGTCTTAGGCAAATGTAGAGAAACCAACTTGCCCTGGTTAGCCTGAGGTTTTTCTAGTTTTACCATGAAAACCGCGGACTGAGGAAATCATCCAGTCCTGGGCAAAAAAGGTAGTTGGTCACCCTTACCAACTGAGTGACTGTTTAACTTCTTGTTTCTCAAACCGTGGTCCTCACCAGCCACACAGGCATCACCTGGAAGCTTGTTAGAAGTGCAGCATTGCAGATCCCACTGAGATCTGCTGCATTTGAAAGTGCATTTTAACAAGCTCCCCAGGGCAGAGGCACATTCCCACCTGAGAAGCACTGCTCTCATGGACTCACTGGAAACATCAGAATTGGTTCTGGGTCAAATTAAGCAGGTGAAGTTTCCCCTTTTGTCTTCCCTCACCTGATTTTGGTGCCCCACCCCTGTTCTGAGGCCCCCAGCACTCTCAAGTTGCCCGTTTAGTTATCCTTGGTCCTCCACTGTAATATGCTACCAGGGCTTGTCCTCCCTGAAACTCTGCCTCTTTTCTATCCAAGTGTACATGTCCGGTCTCTGGGTATTCTGTTAGAGGAATATGTATCTATGTAATGAATTGATATAGAATAATTTATTTGTGGTGCCACATCCCTTAGGTAACACATTTTCCTTATTAAAAGGGATCTTGGTGGGAAGTGTGTGTGTGTGTGTGTGTGTGTGTGTGTGTGTGTGTGTGGCGCGGGAGGCGGGGGGTGCTGAAACTAGCTGAAGAGGCCATAATGGCAGGAACTCCCAGGAATCAATGCAGGTCAGAACTTTGGAAGAAGTGGGCTTCTTAGAACTCCTCAAATCCCACCACCCTATAATTTCCTCTCTCCACAAGTAGGAAATACACAGAGTGAGGTTTAAGACAATTCCATGTAGCTTTGGCTTACTCCTAAATGTTAGGTGTGATCTGGATACTACAGATCACAGCTAAAGACCAAAGCAGGGGAGAACAATGAAGAATTTACTACATTGTCTATTATCAAGGTTAATCCTTATATTTTTAAATATTATTTTTGTATCCTCACCCAAGGATATGTTCATTAATTTAGAGAGAAGAAGAAGAAGAAGAAGAAGAAGAAGAAGAAGAAGAAGAAGGAGGAGGAGGAGGAGGAAGGGAGAGAGAGAGAGGAACATCGATGTGAGAGAAAAACATCAATTGGCTGCCTCCCACACGCCCCCCGCCGCCCCCACGGGGGATGGAAACCGCAACTATTGGTGCACAGGACGATGGTGCAACCAACTGAGCCACCTGGTCAGGGCCATTATCTTTTGTGTTGTTGTTTATTTTATTTTTGTATGTTTTCAATTACACATGACATTCAATATTATATTAGTTTCAGGTGTTCATCTTGGTGGTGAGACATCAATATAATTAAGAAGTGATTCCCCCCAATAAATCTAAAACCCACCTGGCACCATACATAATTATTATAATGTTGTCTTTTATTAAGAGGTTTGGTTTCCATTAAAGGCTCAACTACCCAGAAAGAAAAAGAAATGTGTTTGCATTTTAAGTGTGAGGACATGGCCCAGGCTGTCTTTCTCAAGGAGGCTCAGGCTACCTTGGTGTCCTCTAGCATTATCACCTGTGAGTCCAAGCTCCGTTCTACCCAAGATAGGAAATGCTTACCCTTCATAGTAGTTGTATAAATAGGGCTTTGATTCATGAATTAATTTTCTTTACTGTGGCAGGCATAAATTACGCTTTCAGTTCTCTAACATCTAACTTTTAGGAATGACTGCTAGATGAGAACTTCAAATACACAATCTATAATAATAAAAGCATAATACGCTAATTAGACCGGACAGCCAAATGACCTTCTGGATGAAGCTGGGGCTGCGAGGGCCAAGTCCCTTGCATGAATTTCGTGCATTGGGCCTCTAGTACATATAAAAATAGTATGATAGCCATAGTTATAGACATTCAGATACTATTTGAAAAATATTTATGCCTCCATTGCTCTTATACCTTTCAACATACTTTCACATGAATATATCACCAGATCAAAAGCAGTTTAATAGTATAGTTACATTAAATCAAACGAGTCCCCTAATGACTCAGAAGGCATTTGGGTCATGCTAGTGCCCCAGGATGATGGTCACAAACTTGGGTTGTCAAAGTTCAAGAAATGCATGCTAATAGATATTTCCAAGACATAATGAGAAACCAATTGGGGTTTACTGTAGAGATTCACTTAACTCTAAGGAATAAAATGAGATACATCCCTCTTGGAGAAAAGTTTCACCTAATTCAATAGGAGTATATCTCAAAAGGCATGAAGAGTTTGCAGGCTTAGAGTAAATCAGAAAATTCCACTGACCTGTGACTGATAACATCACCGAAGTCAAGTGTCCCACCCTGTAAGCCCCCCTTTCAGGCTTCTGAATGACACAGGTGTATGTGCCATTGTCTGACGGGCGCAGACCCAGGATCACAATGAAAGGGTTACTGATGATGTTGGCTACGGTGCGGTTCTTATACTTGGGCCACACTTGCATTTTTCCGGAAACAACACTCAGCACCATATCACTATTATTTTTTTGCCAGTAGATGCGAACTTTTGTCAGTTCATCAGTGGAAATGTTGTAATCACAGGATAGTACTGCCCTGTCATTCACCGTCTTGGTCACTTGGATGATGCCTAAAAAGAGGCAAATAGAACAAGATTTTATATGTTTAGTAAATATAGATTCCTGCACAAGTAGGAATTCAGAGTTGGCAGTAACAGTGTTATATCTTGTGGCTAAGCATATTCAAATGATTCATTTTGATTTTTTTTGGTTCCCAATGCTGTTTTTTTCTTCATTTTTAAAGTTGACGCCCTCCAGCCTGCCCCCACCCCCCTCCCAGGACCTCACTGCCCCATAAAATTTACCATCGTGTTTTTAAGAGTACAGTTCAGTAGTGCTAAGTATATTCACATTGTTGTGAAACAGATCTCCAGGACCTTTCTATCTTGCAAATCTGAAACTCTGTCTGTATGTATTCAACAATACCCCTTTCCCTCCACCCCCTCCCCCCTGCTCCCTGACCCCTGGTATCCAACACTCAGCTTTATGTTTCTATGAAATTGACTACTTTAGATACTGCATAGAAGTGGAATCATGTAGTATTTTGTGTGTTGTTTTTTTAAATATATTTTTTTATTGATTTCATAGAGGAAAGGGGAGGGAGAGAGAGAAGATTCAATGAGAGAGACACATCAATAGGCTGCCTCCTGCACGCCCAGCACTGGGGATCAAGCTTGCAATTCGGGCATGTGCCCTGATTGGGAATTGAACCTGGACCTCTTGGTTCATGGGATGATTCTCAATCCACTGAGCCACTCCAGCTGGGCTTTTTTTTTTTTTTAAGAGCAGTTTTATATTCACATCAATATTAAGCAGAAGGTACAGAGATTTACCTTATGCAGTGTGTCCCCACACATGCTTAGCTTCCCCATTATCAACATTCTGTATCTGAATGGTACATTTGTTACAACTCATGAACCTACAAGGACACATCACTATCCCAAAATCCTTGTTTATGTTAGGCTCACTCTTGGTGTTATACATTTTATGGATTTGGACAAACTTATAATGACATGTATCCACCATTTCAGCATCATACAGAATAGTTCACTGCCCTAAAAATCTTCTGTGTTCTGTCTATTCATCCATTTCTCACCCCTAACCCCTGGCAACCTCTGATTTCTTTACCACCTCCATAGTATTGCCTTTTCCAGAATGTCATATAGTTAGAATGATACAGCATGTAGCTTTTTTCAGATTGTCTTTTAAAAATAATTCTTTATTGTTGAAAGTATTACATATGCCTCCTTTTTGCCCCATTGACCCTCTCTGCCCCATTGTCTGTGTCCTTGGGCCATGCCTATATGCAAACAAGGTCCTTTGTTGATTGCCTCCCACCGCCCACCTTCCCTCTGACATTCCAGACTCTGTTCCAGCTTGAGTCTCTGGATCCACTCCTTTCATCAATTTGTTACTTAGATCCCACATATAAATGAGTTCATGTGATACTTGTCTTTCTCTGACTGACTTACTTCACCTAGCACAGTGGTTCTCAACCTTCCTAATGCCGCGACCCTTTAATACAGTTCCTCATGTTGTGGTGACCCCCAATTTCATTGTTACAAATTGAACATAATTAAAGCATAGTGATTAATCACAAAAACAATATGTAATTATATATGTGTTTTCTGATGGTCTTAGGCGACCCCTGTGAAAGGGTCGTTCGACCCCCAAAGCGGTCGCAACTCACAGGTTGAGAACCGCTGACCTAGCATGATACTCTCCTTTGGTGTTGTTTTTCTAAAAATTGATTTCAGGGAGAGAGAATTAGAGAGAGAGAGAGAGAGAGGGAGAGAGAGAGAGAGAGAGAACTGAGTCACACTGACCAGGCAGTATTTGTCTTATTGTGACAGGCTTATTTTACTTAGCATAATGAGCTTAAGTTTCATCCATGTTTTAGCATGTGCCAGAATTCCTTCCTATTTTAAGGAGAATAAGATAATGATGATAATGAATTCTTCACCCATTTATCTCTCGACAGACAGTGAGGAAGAAGGTCCACTAGTCCCATTAGAAGAAAGGCTGTAGGAAACCTAGCATATGAGCCCAACCACAGGTTGGACATGTACTCGGCTCCACAGGAATCTGGAAGTCATAGTTAAGACATGTGAGATCTTCAAGCGATTTTCATGATTATTCATTTGCACAGATGGTCTTATTTTACAGAGGAGGAAACGAGGCCTTGGAAAGCAAACTGGTCCAGTTTTACATTTTCTGGCCAAAGATTTTTCAGGCCACTCCCCTTGTTTACTGGTTTTCTCAACTTCAGAGCCCAGATCTAGGATAAGTAAGCCAGCACTGCTGGCACCCCAGCTGGGCCCCACCACCAAGTGCCTTTGCTTTGAGAAACAGAATCCTTTTATCCCCCAGCTCTGGATTGGCCCCATGACTTCAGACTGAAATGACTCCCATCATCCCCACCAGACAAGGCCTTGTTAGCATTATGGACCATGTCTGACCTCTTCAGCTACCCTAAACAGACCTACATCCATCTTCCTATCTCTTTGCCATCTGCAATCCATGCAGCAATTGCCCTACAACCTAGTTTTGCTAGAGGACCCCCATTAAAAACATTCTACCCATTTTCCCATCAGCATATTGCAGAAATGCCAACATTTCAGCCTCCAAACCCCATCTCTTCGTTAGCTCCTGAGCACTCATCAGTAGCACCAAAATCCCTTCTCAGACTATATTTTATGAATTTTTCATTCAGAAGGCATGATCACTTTTCCAAAGCTGTGCAGAGTCCCTCTGAGCCCCAAGCTCTTTCACAACTGCCCTACCCCCACCCACACCATGCCCAGACCCAACAGACCCCCTGGGGAGGCCCATGTCTAGGGGTTTTAACTAATAGGTTAGTTGTTCCCAAAAAGAATCCAGGATTTCTGATTTTGACATGTTGTAAAAAGAGAAATCTTAACTGAAAGTGACCTAATTTTTTAAAACAAAATTTATTGGGGTAACATTGGTTAACAGAAATGCCAGGTGTACAAGTTTAAAATATGACATCTAACGGTCTAGCCTCCTTCCATCCCCAGGTATTTGATCCCCTTTACCCTCTTCATCTGCCCCTCACCCCCTTTCTGCACTAGTAACCACCATTCTGTTGTTTATGTTGTATCTATGAGTTTTGTTTGTTTATTATGCATTTATTGTTTTTGTTTTATATTCTACATAAGAGTGAAATAATACACTTCTTGTCCTTTTTCATTTGACTAATTTCACTCAGCACAATAATCTCAAGATTCATCCATATTGTCACAAATAGAAATACCTCGTTTTTTATGGCTAAGTATTCTATTATACATGTAGTATATCTTCTTTTTTTTTTTAAATATATTTTATTGATTTTTTACAGAGAGAAAGGGAGAGAGATAGAGAGTCAGAAACATCGATGGGAGAGAAACATCGATCAGCCGCCTCCTGCACATCTCCTACTGGGGATGTGCCTGCAACCCAGGTACATGCCCTTGACCGGAATCGAACCTGGGACCCTTCAGTCCGCAGGCTGATGCTCTATCCACTGAGCCAAACCGGTTCGGCAGTATATCTTCTTTTAAAAAAATCATTATTGAGAGTATTACAGACGCCCCCATTTTTTCCCCCACTGTCCGCCTCCACCTTATTCCACCCCACCTCAGGCCTTCAGTACCCTATTGTTTGTGTCCATAGGTAATACATACCAGGTATATGCATATAATATCTTTGGTTAATCTATTGCCAACCCTCCCTCCCCACTTCCCTCTGGGATTTTTCAGTCTGTTCCATGTTTCCACACCTCTGATTCTATTTTATTCATCAGTTTATTTTTTTTATTAGATTTCTTGTTCATTTATTTTGATTTTCACATTCCATTGTTGATAGATATATATATGTATTGCCATTTTATTGCTAGTGCCAGGTCTTGGGCCTTTTATTGATAGGTTTGGGCATGCTGACACCAGTTGCTACTTGTTTGAGAGATTTTAGAAAAGTCTGAAGCCTGAGCCAGGACAGGCCATTCATGTGGAAAAGTCACTGCAAACAGCTTGGGTGGGGCTGCAAATTGGATGGGGTGGGATCTCAAGGAATCACCAGGGCAGAGCAAACAGTGTGAGCCATGCTGATGGAAACTCAGATATGGCTGCCAGTCAGCTCTGTCATGATGGGGAGGTCCCAGCACAGGAACAATGACCCCTGTGAGCACCCCCAGCTGGGAGAAAGCTGCTACCTAGTTCCTGCCCTGATGCCAGACAATCCAGTTCCTCCCTGTATGCCCCTGGACCCCACCCCCCCAAAGTCACTGCCAGGTGCTGGAGCTCAGAGGAAGTGGGACCGTGTATGTACATGTTCCAGCCTTTTACGAGGAACTATCTGAGACTCCAGCAGCCTTTGTGTCACTCAGTCACAATCCTTACTGATTTTTACAGCCTGAAGTTACGGGGTCTTCTCTTCGCAGCTCTGGAACTCCGGGATGAGGGGTCTGGTGTGGGACTAGGGCCCCTTGCTTCTCACCAGAAGCCTTGGAGATATCCCTCCCAATTAAAAAAACACCACACATGGATGTTGGACAAGTCCATTCCGTGCCTCCACCCCTCCTACTAGTCTTGATGTGCTTTCTTCTTTATTTTTCTAGTTGTAGGACTCCCATTCAACCAGATTTCAGGTGGTTCTGAATGATATTTTTCTGTATTTTAGTTGTAATTTTGATGTGATTGTAGGAGGTGGCGAGTGCTGGCATTTACCTAAACCACCATCTTGGTTCTCTTCACATCTTCTTTAACTAATCATCTGTGGAAGTTGTTTCCATGACTTAGCTATCCTATATAATAAAAGTATAGTATGCAAATTGTCCCCTCAACTGGTGTTCTTCCGGGAGTTCGACCAGGTAGCGGTTTGGCTGGGGGAAGGGAGGGAGGCCCCAGCACTGGCAGGTGGCCAGGGGAAGGGAGGGAGGCCCAGCACTGGCAGGTGGCCGGGGAAAGGGAGGGAGGCCCTGGCCGACAGCCAGCAGTCACTAGGTACCCTACCAGTGCATGAGTTTTGTGCACTGGGCTTCTAGTTGTAAATAAAGCTGCAATGAGCATAAGGGTACATTTATTTTTACCAAAAAAGTATTTTTAAATTATTTGGATAGATACCCAGAAAAGGGATTGCTGGTCATATGGTAGCTCTTAGTTCTCTTTCTCCTTCCTCCTGGTTCATTTTTAGGCTCCTATCTTTGAGCTTCCTGATTCTCTGTTCCGTCTGGTCTACTCTATATCCAATGTTTTCTAATGCATTCCTCATCTCATTTATTGAGTTCTTCAACTTCATAATTTCTATTTGGTTCTTTTTTATAATTTTAATTACTTTGGTAAGGTGTTCTTTTTGTTCATTAATTTCATTCCTGAGCTCATCAAATGGCCTTTCTTGTACTTCCTTGAGTTTCTTCATAACTGCAATCTCAAATTCTCTGTTATTTAAATTGCAGTCTTCCATGACTTTGAGTTTGGTTTCTGGGGACTTTTCATTTTCATTCTGTGCTTCCATGTTACCTTGGTTGCTCATGGTTCTTCATGTTTTTAGGTCTGTGCATTCAAGGAAGGGAATGCTTTTCTTGTCTGTTTTGTTCTCGAGTAGGCTGCTAGGTAGATTACTTTCTTTTGTCTTCCAGTAGATGGTGCTATAGCACAAGTCTTTGTTTCCTCTTGTGACATTGCTTAAATTGAGGAAAATGCCCCAGAACCGCTGGAGTGGTGGATGTCTCCTCTGTGACCTGCTCATCTTGGTTAAGGTGAACACCATAATGGAGAACCAGTTTTGTTAGCTTCCATTACTGCCTCCTCATTATTAATGGCAGCTGACCCCACTGTGTTTTTGGAGTTGTCTTCACTACCTCTGCGAGGGCCTGTGGTGATGGGTGGGGCAAGGGAGGCAAATTCATGATTTCACAACTCTGCCTTCCTGTCAGCAATGGCTGCCGGTCTGTTGTGCTGTTTAAGCATCCCAGCCACCTCTACTGGACTCTGCTGCAATGGGAGAAGGGAGGGACACAGCCTCTGCTCCTTACGCTTCAGGCTGTTGTGTGAGGGCTGCGGCCTGACTTATCACTGCTACTGTGCTCGCTGGAGCTACGGTGGGTGCCGAACCGTGCTCTTTAGTCCCTGTCCTCCCTCCCCTACTCATTCCAATAAACCCACCTTCGGATGCGTGGATTTCTCAGGAAGACTTTGTGTGTTGAGCAAGGGATCCTTTGTTGAGTTATAGTTGTCTGACTTGTCAATTTAAGGAGAGAAACAAAGAAGCCTTCTCACTCTGCCATGAGGCCGATGTTGGTGAAAATGAGCTAATTTCAGTGATGGTTCTTAAGAAATTTTTGTCCATTGAGAAGTGTAAGTATTTCTAAAGGTCAGTGACTTACTATGTGAGGCCCCCTTACAAGATGCCTATGTTGAGGCAGAACCAGACTGAAAAGAGGAACCAAAAATCTTCTGAGCATTTTGGAATTTCCACCGGGACAGCTTCTATACTTAGGCCCCTGTGCTAGAAACGGCATTTAAACAAGACCCCAGGTAATTGGTATGCAAAATGAAAGTGTGAGCCGCACTGGGATAGACCATGTCACCACCCTGCTCAAAACCCTTCCATGGCTTCTGGGTGCCCTCCAAGTAACATTCACATTCCTGACTGTGGCCACCAAACCCTTATGGAGCCTGGTCTCTATCCCCACAGGTCCCCACCCCTTCAGTTTCTCGGTCCTCGGTTTCTCTTTCTGTTTTCTTCTGTTTTCTCCCCAGTTCACTCTCACCACTCTCCCTTCTGGCAAGGAAAGACAGCGTTTGTTAGTCAGACCTTCAATTGAATGATTATTTGATTAATTTTCATTTTCTTCATTTTCATTAATGATCATAAATTCCATGAAAGCAAAAGCCATGTCAATTTTGCTCATCACTTGTCCCCAAGACCGAGAAAAGGGTCTGTGCATAGGAGATGCTGTGTTTGTTGAATTAACAAATGGTTAAATAAAGGAATGAACGCATGTGTCAGATTCATGCTTACTTTTGTGCTTTTGTCCATGCTGTTGCCCCACATAGAATTCTAGAACCATCACCTATTTCCCACCTGCCCAATTGCCCCAGCCCACCCTGGTCTGCTTGGTCTTGGGCTCTTACAGTCAGAACCAGGTACTTCACTGCTCTCCACGTGTTGTGACTTTGTTTGCTCATGGGTTCATTTGTGACTCAGAACAGCAACAGTAAAATCTGGATGTAACTACAAAACAGTGATTTTGTGATCCACCAGTGTGCCACAAGAATTCTTAAAACATGCAATACTAAATAGTCAGTACTATTTAGTCAGGGGCACTGACCTCTTTTCCCTTAGATTGTCAAATAAAACAATGACAATAGACAACACAACAATAGTCTGGTGTGAACGAATCAAAATTACACCTGTTTTTTGGTCAGATTGGCAACAAATACAATACATATTTTGGTTGCCACAGAATGTTAACATAATTAATTTATGTGTGCCATGAGATGAAAATAGAACAAGGTGCTTTCCTAAATGTTTTTCTTTAGCTCAAAGATTGTCTTCCTTTTGCCTCTGATGAATTTTCTGGCTTAATTGCTAAAGCCTTGGTTTTTATTTTAATGTGTGTGGCATTTTTTTGCTGCTATAATTTTTAATATACATTTTTAATTTTATTAAATTTATTGTTAATGATCTTTTTATATTATCTTTTTTATTGTTTTTCTCTCTGTGTCACACACACACACACACACACACACACACACACACACACCTAGGAAGCCTGTACAAATTTTCTTCTAAATATTTTGAAACTTATTTAGATTCTCTAAGACTCTAATTTGGGAGTGCTTTCCCAACTTCCCAGAAGAAAATTGTAACTGTTGGAAATATAATATAACTATGAAATATATACAAAATAGTCAAGTAATCTGTGTCCCCTAACTTTTCTTCCCTTCCCTTTCTTTCTCTCCCTCCCAACTTCGACATTCTGGGCAACACCACAGTGAGACAGGTTTTTAGTAAGAGCTCTTAACACAAGGACTTCTGATATTCGGCTCTTTGCGGACTGGCAAACTGTGGTAGCCAAAGCCTTCTTTTTATTTTGGGGAAACCAGATACTATACTGTTCAGCAGAAAGCAAATCTTTTGCTTTTATTTTATTTTATTTTATATTATATTTTATTGACTTTTTTACAGAAAGGAAGGGAGGGATAGAGAATTAGAAACATCGATGAGAGAGAAACATCAATCAGCCGCCTCCTGCACACCCCCTACAAGGGATGTGCCCGCAACCAAGGTACATGCCCTTGACCGGAATTGAACCTGGGACTCTTCAGTCCGCAGGCTGACGCTCTATCCACTGAGCCAAACCTGTTAGGGCAGAGAATCATTGATCACTGCCTCCTGCACGCCTATTACTGGGGATTGAGCCCACAACCAGGTACATGCCCTTGACCAAAATCGAACCTGGGACTGTTGAGTCCACAAGCTAATGCTCTATCCACTGAGCCAAACCGGTTAGGGCTTTTGCTTTAATTTTAAAAATAAAGTCGGGCCTGGCGGACATGTCTCAATGCCTAGTAGACCTATGAGTCAGGTCACGGTTCTATTCTTGCTTGGGGCGAATGCCTGGGTTACGGTCTTGATCCCTGGTGTGGAGCATGGAGGAGGTAGCCCATCAATGACTCTCTCTTGTCATTGATGTTTCTGTCTCTCTCTCCCTCTCTCTTATTCTTTGAAATCAATACAAATATATTAAAAAAAAAAAGTTGGACCTGGCCAGTGTGGCTCACTGGTTGAGAGTCAACGCATGAACCAGGAGGTCATGGTTTGATTCCAGGTCAGGGCACATGCCTGCTCTATTCCCAGTGGGGAACCTGCAAGAGGAAGCTGATTAATGTTAGTCTCTCATCATTTCTATCTCTCTATCCCTCTCCCTTCCTCTCTCTAAAATAAATTTAGATAGATAGATAGATAGATAGATAGATAGATAGAAAAAATAGAGTTTGAGCCATCCTATTGCTAGGATGAGTCCCACCCTTCTGAATAGTCCCCTAAACCTAGCACCTAAGATGAAACAAAAGCCTCCAGAAGATAAAATATTCTTTGCAGAACACACATGAAATACCTATGTAGTAAGTTAAAAATAACTAAAAAAAATAGTTTTATTCTAAATCTGATACCACTTAATGTCAGATGCCAGTGTGCACAAAGGGCATCAACACCTAAAGCATAAAAATACACATTAAGGAAAATTTTAACATTAGGAAGATTATACACCTCAACTGCTTTCTTTCCCTCTTCAAATTAGAAAGATCGTCATTTCCCTAAGCCCTGAAACAACAAACTCAGTCAAGTTGCTTACCTGAAGAGAAGTAAAAATGACCAGCCAGCACCAAAGACTGAAAGAGCTTGAGGTACGAGCGCCTGGAGGGTAGTGTTCTCCACTTTGTTTGACCCATGGCTTCTGCTCCTTACAATGAAAAAACGAAAGCAAACAATTTTGCACCAAGTGAGAACTGGGCACCTTCCCAGCGAGTCCCAGGCTTGTGCAGAAGAAATTCAGTTGCCTCACACAGAGGACTCAATTGCAAAACACACTGAGGAGAGGCTGATGATGTACCCAGGTCTTTAAAATCCTGAATATAAAAGATGGTGGATTTATTCTGACACCCTGAAAAAGAAGAAAATAAAAGTCACTCAGGAAGGAAGGTCAGTCCACTGTGGCTTGTAAAACTCTCTAGTTGCCTGCCTAAAATAGTCTGGGGATCCTACTCTGAGCCTGCCTGGTCCCCTAACCGCCTTTGCCTCGGCCCCTGTACCCAGGACCCAGGCTTTCCTCTTTCGGGTGGCTTTGCCGCAGCAGGTACCTGGGGACCCTGGATGGCTTTGCCCGGGCAGGTACCTGGGGACCCTGGGTGGCTTTGCCCGGGCAGGTACCCGGGGATCCCGGACGGCACTGCCTGGGTCCCGGCTTTGTCAGGAAGGATGTCCGGTATGACATCTGGTCTAATTCACATATTACCATTTTATTAGTATAGATTGTGGTGACATTGGCTTGTGAAACTATACAAGTTTCAAGTGTACAACTCAATAAAACATCAACTGCACAGGAGGTCACTACATAATACTACAAGGAGCAGTACAACAGAGGATATAATCCTTGTATACCTATATGCAGCCAACATAGGAGCATATAAATATATAAAGAAATTCTTGGTGCCCTAACTGGTTTGGCTCAGTGGATAGAGCGTCGGCCTTCGGACTCAGGGGTCTGAGGTTCGATTCCGGTCAAGGGCATGTACCTTGGTTGCGGGCACATCCCCAGTAGGGAGTGTGCAGGAGGCAGCTGATTGATGTTTCTCTCTCATTGATGTTTCTAACTCTCTATCCCTCTCCCTTCCTCTCTGTAAAAAATCAATGAAACATATTTTTTAAAAAAAGAAATTCTTGGTGAACATTAAGGAAGAGATTGATAGCAATACAGTCTTCGTAGGGGGTTTGAAGACCCCACTGACATCAGTGAATAGATCTTGCAGACATAAAATAAGGCAAATGTCATGCTGGATTTGGTAGATTTACTTGATATTTATAGAATATTTCACCCCAAAGAAGCAGAATATATGTTCTTCTCAAGTGCACATGGAATAGTCTCAAAGATCACATGTTAGGACACAAAGTAAGTCTTAATAAATTCAAGAAGATTGAAATTATATTAAGCATCTTCTCTGGCCACAATAGTATAAAGCTAGAAATTACAATTAAAAAAAAAACCCTAAAAACATTCATACACATGGAGGCTAAATAACATGTTATTAAACCATGAATGTATTAACAATGAGATCAAGGAAGAAATAAAAAGTTACCTGGAAACAAATGAAAATGAATAGACAACAACCCCAAATCTATGGGGCACAGTGAAAGCAGTCCTAAGAGGGAAGTTCTTAGCACTACGGTCCTATCTCAAAAGGCAAGAAAAGCCCTGGCCAGAGTGCCTCAATGGTTAGAGAATCAGCCTGCTCACCCGATGCTTGCAGGTTCCAATCCCTGCCCCCACTGGGGCACATGTAGGAGGCAACCAATTGATGTGTCACATAGATGTTTCTCTCCCCTTTCACCCCACCCTTGCACTCTCTCTAGAATCAATGGAAAAAATATCCTCACTCCTCAGGTGAGGATTTTTTTTAAAAGTAAGAAAAATCTCAAACAATCTAAACCTACTACACCTAAAAGAACTAGAAAAATAACAACAAACAAAGCTCAGAGTAAGTAGAAGGAAGGAAATAATAAAGAACAGAGCGGAAGTAAATAAATGATACAAAGATTAACCAGATTCATCAAGAAAAAGAAGGGAGGACCCAAATAAATAAAATCAGAAACAAAAGAGGAGAAATAACAACTTACACACCAGAAATACAAAGGATTGTAAGAAAATAATATGAACAACTATATGACAACAAATTGGACAACCTGTGCAAAATGGATAAATTCCTAGAAACATACACACTTTCAAAACCGAATCAGGAAGAATCAGAAAACTTGAATACAGTACACTGATTACAACTAATGAAATTGAAGCAGTAAAAAAAATTTTCCAGCAAACAAATGTCCTAGACCACAGGTGAATTTTATTAAACATTCAAAGAAGAAATAACACCTGTCCTTCTCAAACTATTCCAAAAAATTTAAGAGGCAGGAAAATTTCTAAGCTCATTTCACAAGGCCAGCATTATTCTAATTCCAAAACCAGATAAAGACACTATAAGGAAAGAAAATTATAGGTCAGTATCTCTAATGAACATAGATGCTAAAATCCTCAAAAAAATATCAGCAAACCAGACCCAGCAATACAATTAAAAGATCATACTACATGTTCAAGTAGGATTCATTCTGGGAATACAAGGTTGGTACAATATTTGCAAATCAATAAACATGATGCATCACATAAACAAAATGAAGGTTAAAAATCACATGATTATATCAACAGATGCAGAAAAAGCATTTGATAAAAACCAGTACCTACTTATGATAAAAACTCTCAGTAAAGTGGGAATAGTGGGATGATACCTCAACATTAAAAAGGACATAAATGACAAGCCCATAGCCGACATCATACTCAATGCACAAAAAGTAAAAGCATTTCCCTTAAGATCAGAACAAGACAGGATCGCTGGCCTTCACCACTCTTATTCAACATAGTACTGGAAACGACTTCCTTCTTAACATGTTAACATAGAAAAACAAGTGTCTCAATTCTTAAATACTTCTTCGCAAAAAATAAATCAACAGAAAATCTATTAATAAAAGGGGAAGAAAAAAGACATAACAAGCTATCCCATATTAAGATAATAGTAAATTTACTTACGCTGAAGAACAATTTCTCTCTTTCTCTTGTGTTGAAAATTAAAGGAGGAGGACCCGCTTCTGAGATGTTCTCGTTTGGGTAGCTTGAAATGCTGTCAAATTGCTCAGTTGTACTTTAAGTTCTATGTCACAGAGGCGGCATTCCCCTTCCAACTTCCTCTTACTCGAGTTTTCCAGCAGGCATAATTAAATAAAAGCACAAGGTATGGTTATGATGATATGATTTGAGGAAGCTCCCTAGCTCAGTCAGTTTCTTAGACTGATGGGTGGGGCCAACCACACACTGTCCTAAGAGAGCAGCGGGTAGCGTGGGGGAGGGAAGAAAGTGGTTGGAGGGTTGACTTTTGGCAGTAGATGCTTGCGAGCTTTATGAGCTGCCTGCTTCTGTTCTTACCCCGTTTTGTTTTAGCACCTAGAGTTATCCCTCCCTGGTCTCAGTCATGCCACTGAAGGAATGGGCCATCATGTGTAGAGGACAGCTTTTGGAGAGTACTCAGCTCATAAGGCCACTCTTGATTGCATGCCCACCTCTCCATCCCACCCTCTTCACAGAGTGGGCTCCTGGCAGCCGTGGTGAGGGAGACACGGCTGAATGCACCTCAGGGGGGCACAATGACAGAACCAAGGCACGGGGTGAAGAGGATTTAGCCTCTCATCCATCCCATTTCCAGCCAGCTTGCTGTGGTTACGTCCTCTGTAGAGTTCTGGAGCATTCTGTGGGTAAACGGCCGGCCCGTGCTAATCCAGCTGACCTGTTTCGCACAGGTAGAACCTGACAGCAGCGCCTGCCTGGGCTGGCACCATTGACTGCTGTTGGCCCTGAGCTTCTCTGGTGCTTTGGCTGGGACCTTTGGAAGTTTTGCACTTAAGTGGGTGCAGTCTGAAAATATGGGAGGAGTTAATGCCTTTGGGGCCAGTCTTAACCAAATGGGGCTGGAAGGTGATGGATAACTGCTTTCCCCTTTGTCACCCAGGGGGAGAGTGCCAAGGTACATGATCAAAACTCACTGAACAACACACCAAACTAACCCTGCTGCTAAACTCAACTCCAGGCTGAGCCATAAACATCCTGGAACCACTGTTCCATGGACATAAGTGGATATCTCTTTGGAGTTTTGAAACCCTCTAGTTTGCATACTGGACTAATCAATCCCTGTTAACCTCTCCAGAAATCCTTCATTTGCATGGAAAAATTACGTTTTGTGGTTTTTGCCTTAATGAACCCTGCCTTTCTTTGATCACTGTGGCATAGTTTGGGCTGCTCCTTCAGAGGCTGCGGGAACTGCACTGTTAGATGGGTGGGGTCAGACTGCATCTGGGTTCAGCAACTTCCATGCTTGAGTCTGGCTAGGAAAGAATTCAGAGCCAAGACTCCATATTTATTTATAAAGTCACAGAGGTACAAGTAGTAATTTGTAGATGAAATGGGCTTAGGAAACAAGTTACAGAGGTAGAGGCAGGGCCCTTGGAGCTTGGGAGTAAGGAAGGTAATGGTAATGCCTGGGGGAGGGAATGGGGAGATGGGAGGAGGAAGGGAGAGCATGCTGGGTCCTCTGAACTAAGGGTCTTAAGGGTGGAGATTTTAGGGGAGATCCGAGAGGATGATCTCAATAGAATATTCAGCAAATTTCCGGGTGTGCCCTCTCAGGGTCTAGGTCTCCACGGATTGATTGGTTGGTGCCTGGGCAGGGGTTCATTATTCAATGCAGCTGGTCCTGAGGTCAGCCATGGGGATCTCCTCTCTGGTTTTGTTGCTTTTCTAGGCCTTGAGCTCAAATACAACTGAGGCCTAGAGCTTGTCTCTAGGAAGGGAAGGTTAGGGGGTCCAGCAGGACCTTTGATTTTTGAGGGGAGGAAAGGTCTCCTGGGGGTGAGGTCCCACCCTCCAATTGTCCCTTGGTAGGCACCTGAGGCTTTTTGCCCTGGTGACCTCTGTACCTGGCCCATAGTCCTTGCTCTGCTACTGTGTCTAACTGCCTGCCACAGATTTTTTTCTTCTTCCAGATGGGTAGAGATACTTTTATAAAACGATAACAACCACATTTCAGATACAATTTTAAATTTAATTTTACTTGAATTTCACTAAAGAGAAAGACAAGTTGATGGAATTGCTGAATTCATATAAATATTTCCTCTAGACAAGAGGCACTTCCCCTAAAATATCCCTTCAAGACTAAAAAAAAAAAAAAAAAGAAAAAAAAGAAACTGTGAGAACATTAAAGGTTGCAGTCATGATTATGCTCTCCAAGGACATATTTTCATTTTTGTGTGTCTAGAGACTCTTGATTGACTTCTTGCTGTGAAAGATGAGTTCGTCGGCCCAGCCACACTGGCGTGAACACACAGTTCTGAAAACATTGCAGCCCTCTGCACCACTTGGTAAACACCAGCCACTGCTCTCCCCAGGGCTCGCCCTCTCTCCTGGCTGCCCCCTCCTCCCCCCCAGGACCAACCCCAACCCCCATCTCCTACAGGGGAAAGGGAACTCGGGTCCAGGCTCTCAGTCGCCTTCTACACGCCACTTCGCCCCAAGCAGCTTAGTTTCCATCCATTTTATATAATGACCGTAGGTAAGGCTTTGTTTGCAGAAAATTGAATATTCAGTGTGAAAACCATTTGAAAACCCCTGCTCAAGGTCCGCACTCAGGCCCTTGCAAGTCTGCAGTCTGGAATTTCCGAGAATGGACCTGCCACAGATTTTTGTCTCCTTTTGCTCAAATAAATGCTCTGTTCTTTATTCTAGCCTGAACCTCTTCTTGGTACACATATATGTTGATTCTAATTAAAAAAAACCAAAACTGGCACATTCATTTATTTAGACAAAAGTAGTCTTAGTATTTCTGTGCTTTTATTAACTAGCAGGATGAAAAAATAATATTCAGCTGCCAAATAAATGACAAGAGTTAAAATTAATCCTAGCAACCACCCTAGGGAGTACTAGCTTTTCTTGTCCGCTTTCACGGGCGAGGGGCCCAGGGAGTTGAAAAGGAGCCCTTTTCTAAGCTTTTGGCTACATGGCCCGGCAGGAAGAGGCCTCGGCCCGGGGCCCACGTGAGTCACCGACGGGACGGCCGGACCGCGGTCGCTGGTGAC